TTTTCTCTCATGAATACTATTATATAGGTTTTATATGCACTTTACACAGAATCATTCATTGGGTAGATTCTTAATAAACCTTAATTTACTCCTCATTGACTACATTTTTCTAATGGATTTTCTGATTTCTAATGTGAGCAGAGTAAAGCTCATTCTGCGCTGGCTCAGGGAAGGTACCTATTCTTTTGTTTTATTAAATAATCTTGACTAGCATTTTTTTTACAGTTTCCTATCCATTCCAGCTCAGTTATAAGTATGATATTGGCTCAGAGCCCACATTTCTCTTTACTTAGTTTTTACTGTTGCAACATGGGATGGCCTATTATAATTCATAATCTTCTGTCTTGGCTTCCAAGACAGGAGAATTTCAGACATTTGTCACTTCATCCAATTTCACTTTCTTGTTTATTTCTGTGGTTGGTAGAAGTTAATGTTTCTTCAGTTCTCTTTGTTATGCCCCAAAAGGATTAAAATCTACATTTCCTTTTTTGCTTACATTCATGTACTCATTTATTTGTGTGTGTGTGTGTGTGTGTGTGTGTGTGTTTGTGTGTGTATGTAGCAGGCTGCTACCACGACTACTGTGTGGAGGGAGAAGACAGCTTGCAGGTGTCATTCCTCTCCTTCCACCATGTAGATTTCCAGGATCACTCAGGTGGTCAGGCTTGGCAGCAAGTGCCATTATCCACAGAAGTATCTCATCAGCCTGTGGCCACAGTTTTAAATGTGTGGCACCAGTGCCTGCTGAGCCTTAATGGAGAGGATTTGGCAGGAAAAGAGTCCCTGACTGAACCCCCAGGTTGCCTATTAACACCTGCCATTACCTGCCATCTAAATGTAAGTTAAATAATCTTCCCAATTTGTATTTTGGCAAAATGCCACCAGAGCAGATGGACAAGACTGTATGTAACAGGAAATTATGCGTATACATTTGATGTGCGGACTGTGCGTATTATTCCTCTCTAAGAACATCCAAGCATCCTTCTGCTCTCAGCAACTTTTGTATGTACTGTTTACACCATATGCCAGCACAGTGGGAGGGCCTTATCTGAGAGGCAAAAGGGAACACTCACACATTTCACAGAAACTGTTTCACAGAGTAAATTTATCTCATTCAGGGAAAGGAATATATGAAAGTATTCTGAGCACACATGTTGTTATTTCAAGTAATATATTTCCAAAAACAAGTTTAGTAGTTTTTAAAAAAAGGAAAACAATTTGGAAATAACAGAAAGCAATAGCAATGTGTTACTTTGTACCAGAACACCCTTAAACTATTGGAAGTCCATATTCCTTTTCTCACATCTTCACACTCATTCAAAAAGCAACTTGTTCACTGCCACCATAGTTTTCCTACTAATGAAATTGTTCTACTCCCTGACTTTAAATAGTTCTCATGTCTGCCAACCTCTGAGTCTTTCTGTGTCTCCCACTAAGTGATGCATTACACAATTTGTATTTTTTCTTTAAATTCACAGTATTGTATTTTTCAGTTATTGGTAGTGAGTCTAATATTCCACCCATATTAAAGTAGGAGAATGTCAGTCACACTGATTCAGTCACAGTATAGGGTGTGGCGGATGGAATAACTTCCATCAGCATTGATACAAATGTGTGTGCCAAAGCTCTCAGCTCTGTGATTTTTAGGAACTTGATTTTGTCAGAATTCTACATTTCCACTCGAGTCTGTGGAAAACTGAATGCTAATAGTGGATTAAACATGGAGGGATTTTGTTAGGGAAAGTACTCTTGTGACAAAATATAGTTATAGGGAAATAAGGACAGATTTTCCATACAATGTCTGAAGCCAAGAAACAAGAAGTGGGAGTTTCTGAATTTCTCTGATGTGCTGAAGTTAAAAAAATACATTTAGCAACTCCATAAAGGTATCCTTAAAATACAGGAATGCAGTGTCTCCTCCGGAATAGACTTATTTTAGCATCAGGAGCTGAGAGAAGCTCTTGGTAACATAGCCTTGAGGATGTAGTATTTCAAAAGGTAGCAACTGCAGTTCATGGTCAGTTACACTTACAATTACTTGTCTCTATTCTCATAGTCATGATAAACCTGCAAAGTGATTAATCTCTCTCTTAAAGGGACCACTTCAGCTAAGCCCATAAGGAATTCAGTTGTATATTGTCAATAGTGGCTTTACTTACATGAAGAATTATTTTTCAGTGTGAAATATTCATATAACCAAGATCACCAGTCTTTCTTGCTTAATAGAATTTTCCAGAGCAGCAAAATAGAAGTGCCACTGAGTTGGTGATCTCACACACGAAACAAAGAGGTTCAATAAATGTCTCAAACTTTTATGATACCTAGAAATTTTATTCAGATATATTGAATTCCCTCTGAGATGGCACCTGACCCAAGACATAAATGATAACATGTAGGTCCAAAAACTTTCATCCAGAAATGTGGAGAATGACTGACTAAGCATGCCTTGAGGCACAACTCTCACATCCTATGCTGACAAATCATCACTGTTCTTGGAACCCTTAAACGAAATCAACACAGATCCTTAGTGGCTTTGATTCCTAGTCAATTTTTTTTATCCTGGGAAAAAGTGATTTGCAGGTGATGTTTCTCGAGTCTACCAGTTTGACAAGGAGAAGAGCGCTCCAAATGGCCTCTCCTGTATCTTAGAAAGGATAGCATTAGAGGCAGAGTGACTCGAAACTCTCCACCTGTTTTCCTACTTTCCAGAAAGCTGAGCCAGACTTCCCGACCTTTGATATAAGAGTTTCCAAGGCCAAAAAGCTAAAGTTCCAGTACACAAGCACTTTCCAGTCACGTTGCTTATGTTTTGTGCTTGGTTGAAAGGTTCATGCAGCCAATGCCAGGTCAAGGTTACTAGAACTTTGAAAGGCATGGATCCAGGAAGCCCTGAACAAACTGGGAACTGTTCTATCGTATCTGTCTGCTACAGAACAATGCCAGTCTACCCTTTTTTAATTCATAAGAACTCAGGATAAATACGGATTTACCTCAAAGAAGATGCTTCAGATACATTATATTCAGTAATATTCATGTGGAAATGATGGGATTTGTGTTCCATTTTGATGGTTGGCAGATATATTCCAGTGGCAGTGACAATTTTCTGCATTCCTGATACTAGTAAAATAATAGACATGTTTTGTTTGTTTTCCTCTAGTTTAGTTGGGACGTGAATATGAAAATTGGGAGTGAGAAACTGAATAATATATGAGTGTTAGAAACTACAGTTTTCACTGTATAGCTATTCTGTCAGCTGATAAACTCACCCTCACTATAATCAGGTGCTGAAGAGGATAAACATGGAAGCAATATGTTGAAAATCAGAAAATAACTACATAGGCATGAGTAGTCTTTTTGTTGTAATCAAGACAGTTTCTACAGCAGGTAGAAACCTGAGGTAAACCTGTGCATTAACAATCTCCCAGACCTTGTACAGCAGATGTGTGAAGCTGTCTGCAGTTTATTTATTTCAATTCACTTAACACATACATTCATTTTTACACTGAGCTAAACTGGCATCATTTACTGATAAACTGGACTTTTATTTCAAGGATTGGCACTGTATGGCATGACTGTTGGCTCAACCTCTGCAAAAAGATTTAAGTTTTAAGACATAGACTTGCCCCTAGTGTTAGATTATAACATAGGTAGATAGCACATAAATATATCCTAGAGACAAATATCATGGCCGGGCATTGGTAGCACACGCCTTTAATCCCAGCACTCTGGAGGCAGAGGCAGGCGGATCTCTGTGAATTTGAGGCCAGCCTGGTACACAGAGAGAGTTCCAGGACAGCCTCCAAAACAATACAGAGAAATCCTGTCTCAAAAAACAAAACACAAAAAAAATCATATTGGCAATTTGGCACAAATAACCAACTACTCCATTTTATACTGTTCCACAGGGTGTGTGTATGTGTGTCTGTCTCTCTGTTTGTGCATCTCTGTCTATGAATGAGTGTTTGCATGTGTGTATATATATTAGAAGAGGAAATAATTAAAACTAGTACTTTACATTAAAGGTTAACTCCCTCTATAGTGACTTAGACCTACTTTTTAGTTCTTTGTAAATGACCAACTATTACACTTCCTGAAGGTTATGATGGTGACATTTGATTCACGTAGTGACTCCCACTTTCCGTGGATAAGACACATAAGGGAGTTTCTTGGTTTGAAAATCTTGCAGTCTGGGTTCTTTGGTAGAAGTCCACAGCTTTCTGTGTCTAAAGCAGAGTCTTTTACTGCACCTTATTTTACTGAATCGAAGTCAGTCTCACCTGCTCTGAATCGTGGGACTGTTCCATTTTGGATTGTGACTCATAAACTACTTGAATATCATGTACTTATAATCTACACAAATTCACCCAAGTGCAGTTTATTTTCCATAATATTGATGTTGAAAGCTGTAGTTGAGATACCTTCTGTGTACTTATACCATATTGTCGCCCCCCCCTGATAAAGCCTAAAATGATAGTTAAGAGAATTGAATCCAGTGTCATGAAGAGTACTTCTTAGTGAAAGAAGCATCTTCATTTTCTCTATACGATAAGAGGTTTGAAGAGATTTGCATCTTCTTTAATTTCATTTCAGGGGTCTTGTACATATATAATGATCAAGGCAACAGGCAAAGCTGTTTTGTTTGTTTTGTTACACATTAGCCAAGATTAACCTAGATTTCAGGATGTTCTCAGGCAGTCCCTGCACTGCCTGGGAACATCCTTTCCTACCTCAGACTCTTGAGTACCAGGTTCTGGCATCGGTGCTTTGAAGCAAGGCATGGAGCCAGACTCAGCTCTGGCCACACAATACTGTTGTCTTCTTTTATTTTCTTGTGTTTGAAATGCTGACAGAATTTGGGGGTCTCTCACATGCTAAATAAATGTTTCATCCCTGAACTGTGTCCTCAACCTTTTTCTTATTGTTTGTGGTGTGTGTTTCAGGGCTAAGGACCCAAAGTCTGATAGTAATTCATCGTGTTGTGTTTTTATTTTTTCTTCTAGGACTACAATGATGAAATTCGCCAAGAACAACTCCGGGAGTTGTCTTACTTAAATGGCTCAGAAGAGTCTGGCCGTGGCCGAGGTCTTAGAGGCAGAGGAATCAGAATAACTCCCATAGCTCCTTCAAGGTACCTGAGTTCTCACTCTTAGTAGATTACCAGAAAATGGTGACTGCAGACCTGTGATGTTCTGCTCTGTGTCATGATTCCAAACAGAATTAAACAATCTTATCAACACACACCACAATAAGACAGTGAGACTGGATGCTTCAATAGCACCTATAATAACAGCCTCATCAAGGCCCAAGTCATAACAAAATAGTAAGGATAGGTGGTAAAAGAGCACCTAAGAGATTACACACACTAACACGGCATATCTTTTGAAATTGAGATAACCACTGAGGAACTGAGCAACAAAGGTTGAGTGGACTAAGTGTGGTAGCCTGTGGCTTTAATCCTAGAACTCAAGATAACGAGAAAGGTGGGTCTCTGTGAGTTCAATACAAGCCTGATTGTCATGGTGAGTTCCAGGCCAGCCATGGAAGTAGTTTTAAACATGAAACAACAGCAAAAGTTGGGTAGAACATTAAAATGTTAACCTAAAATAGTGGATACATTGTGACTCCAGAATTCCTGATTGTAAACAGCTATCCTTACAGAATAAGGTGGGAACCTGAGTGACATCTCTTCCCTGCTCAGTCCCTAGGATTAGGGCATAGAGATTACACAGCCCTTTGCTTTTTTAAAAGCAGAAAGTCTTCACATGATGGAAAGCTACATATTTTATCCATGTCATATACGGTTCTTAAAAGGAAATAATACTGTCAAGTTGATAGACAAATGAATTAGATCTATCTCCATCGCTTAAGAAAAACCAGAAGCTCATGTTAGCCTGACTAAAAGCATGGTTATATAAAAATCATACACATATTTTGCTTTGCAAGATCCTTGATGATAATAAAAACCATTTGGTTTCATAGAGTTCTGATTTTTTAAGAACTTTTTAACAGAAAACATTAGTTTGCAAAGAGGCAAAGATGCCTCCATGCTCTAATACCAAAGGCAAAGACAAAACAGAAAATATAACTCAGATAAACATTCCTGAACATATTTTCCATAGACAGACTAGAAACATCAAAAACTAAGGCATAGTGGGAAGTCTGGGGTCATGGGATTGTCTTCCAAAGATGATGTAACTTTTACTCTGTCTTGGGCTTTCTTTTGCAATGCTTCCCCACAAACTCAACAGCTTTGCCTGACTTGCTGTCCTGTATCTATTCTGGTACCCCTACACTCTGCCTGGACTTACCAGAGGCTTTAAACCAGAGTTCCCAGTCATGGCCTGGAACTGGAAAAATAAAAGGCCAAAATAAACTTTTTTCTATTTAAAAGTTACGCCGCCCACACACACCCTACCTGCAGTCCTCACAACAGGTTGTGCTATCCATTCACTTACTTCTCTATTTCCCTGACTCTCATATTTGTAAAGGACGTACCCTAAAAGAATATTTCATCTGTCACAATAAAAGTATCTTTAGGTATGGCAAATTATTCTGTAATTTTAATTAATGCCCCAAACATTTCAATCATTATGAATACAACACTATTTTTAAATTTAATATTTTAAAATCTTGCTCATTTATCGGAGGAAATTAAGGATTCCCAAATGGGATACTCAGCAGTTAACTATGAATGTGGATCAATGTGGAAATTACATCTGCCTAAAGGAAAAGACCAAAAAATTTTCCAGAGCTTCTTTTCATATTTCATCTTAAAAACTAAACAGCAAACATTGCAATACTTTGCCAGATCATTTTCTTATTGATACTTGTTGATCTGATGTAACACTTTATATTATTAGATCAGCAATTCATAAAACTTGCCTTTCTAGTCTGATTTTGTTGGATGCTGAAGTGGCATCCTTTTGAATCATCTTAATTAGGTTAATCCTAGGGTCTGAAAAATAAAACCTCACCATGTTTGTGGTTCAGAAATGTCATTTTTAACAGTTTAGCAGGTATACCTTAACTACATAATTGGTAGACCAAAAAAAATCCACTCCATTCTTCTGCATTCTTTGAGAGTCTAACTACTTAAAAAAATTCACTTATCATATTATGAAACCTTAAAAGCAAATAATAATAGATTTGGTCTATTATTAACATAGGTAATCAGATGCTTGAAGGAACCTTAGGGGAGAAATGTTTCTTTTGACCCAGAGTATTTGCCTAATTTGAATTGACTTTATCTTTGGTAAATCTTTTTTTTTTATTTAAATTAGAAACAAGCTTGCTTCACATGTCATTCCCAGCTCCCTCTCCCTCCCCTCCTCCCCCACCCCCTTCAATCTTTCCCCAAACCCCTGCCCAATTCATAATCCACTCTCCAGGGAGGGTGAGGTCCATCATGGGTATCTCCAAATCTGTCATATCATCCAGGCGGGGCCTAGACCCTCCCCCATGTGTCCAGGCTGAGACAGCATCCCTCCATGTGGAATGCATGGGCTCCCAAAGTCCATCTGGATGCCAGGGATAGATGCTAATCTATTGCCCAAGGCCCAAAAGAATGCTAAGGCCTCCTCACTGACACCAGCGTTAAGAGGGTCTGGATCAGTCCAATGCTGGCCTCTCAACTATCAGTCTGTGGCCCATGAGCTCCCCCTTGTTCAGGTCAGCTGTTTCTGTGGGTTTTACCCACCCAGTCTTAACCCCTTTGCTCATCACTCCTCCCTCTCTGCCACTGGGTTCCAGGAGTTTAGTTCAGTGTTAGCTGTGGGTGTCTGCTTCTGCTTCCTTCAGCCACTGGATGAAAGCTCTAGGATGGCATACAAGGAAGTCATTAATCACATTATCGGAGAGGGGCATTTAAGGTAGCCTCTCCACTATTGGTTAGATTGCCAGTAAATCTTTATTCTAAAGTTTTAATTTGTTTCTTCATTGAGTAAATAATGAAACCCTATTATCATTAAAGGCAGATTTTGAGTGATTTTGTGGACAACAATAAGAACTAACATACACAACTAAGAAAGAGAATTTCAGGCCAATATCCCTCATGAAAGTTGATGCAAAAATACTCAATAAAGTACTGGCAAATCAGATCCAAGAACACATCAGAAAACTCATCCACCATGATAGAGTAGGCTTCATCCCAGGCATGCAGGGTTGGTTCAATATATGAAAATACATCAATGTAATCCACCATATAAACAAGCTGAGAAAGAAAAATCACATTATCATCTCACCAGATGATTAAAAAGCCTTTGACAAAATCCAACACCCCTTCTTGAGAAAGGTCTTGGAGAGATCTGGGATAACAGGAACTTACCTCAACATAATAAAAGCTATATACAGCAAACCGACAGCCAACATCAAACTAAATGGACAGAAACTCAACACAATTCCTCTAAGATCAGGAACAAGACAAGGCTGTCCACTCTCTACATACATCTTCAATATTTCACTTGAAGTTCTAGCTAGAGCAATATGATAACAAAAGGAGATCAAGGGGATACAAATTGGAAAGGAAGAGGTCAAGCTTTCACTATTTGCAGATGATATGATAGTTTACATTATTTTAAAACATGGTTATAACATTTACAAGCAGGAGAGCTGGCTCAATGGTTAAGAGCACTTCTAGCTCTTCCAGAGGATCCCAGTTTAATTCCCAGCACCCATGTCAGGCGGCTCACAATCACTTGTAAAAAAAATAGAACTGAACTAACATAGAGAACTAATAAAGTTACAAAAGAGGTGTAATCACACCTGTTTTTTTATTTCAGAAAGAATCTCAGAATTGCTGTGGTAATAAGAATTAGAGCAATTGGCTGGGTTCCAGGGAAAGAAGTGGCAAAAGAGACAGATCATGACTGGGTAGACAATGAAGGCAAACCCATGACCCAAGGCTGGCAGAAATGAGCAGCACTTGAAATACAGAGAGACCAAGCAGGGAAAAGAGTAAAAGTCCAAAGAAACATTTTCCAGATAATAGTTTGGAGACATAACTCAGGAGGCCCAGGATCATGGGAACTGTAAGAGGAAATTGGTAGGCTCATCCAAGTGTCTTCCCAGCGTGCCAAAAATAAGAACTGAAGAGATGACATGTGGTTCAGAAATGAGCATGAAATGAAGATTACATGCAGAAAATGCTCTTTGAAGAAGTCAGAAACTAAAAGAATACTGTACTAGGGATTTAGCCCTGGACAGTATCCTAAAATAGATGATGCATGTTTTAGGTTGAATAGGAGAAGGCAATGGTGTTAATATTGCCAGGAAATGACAGAACATACAAATGAGAATAAGACAGTCTCTGGATAAGGTTTTGCTAAGTCTGGGTCTAAGATCAGTTGAAGAAGAAATGTAGTGAAAGACCAGAATCAATATGAGCATGACATAATTGCAAGGCAGAACAATATATAGATTTAGAAATCTAGATACACTCACTAGGAAAAATGATTATTCTAGGTCTAGGTAATTAAAATGTTTACCTGCCATTATTCTTTGATAATAGCCAAGACATGTAGTTTATTATCAACACATGGACATTTTGATAGTATTAAAATTCTAAACAAAACAGCAATTATTACACTAGTTGTCAGGTAAGTTTGGAGGTAAGTTACTGATGAGGAACAGGAACTTGGCAGCAGTATTTGTGACTTGTTTCAATGTTATGAGCAAATGCTCAACAAGAAATAACTTAAAGAAGGAAAGGTAGGTTCATTTTAGCTCTCAGTTTGAAAAGTACACAGTCCCTGGTTATTTAGAAAGATGCCATTTAAGATGACTTGTGATGGGAGCCTATGGCTGGGAGAGCTTTGTTCCTCATGTCTCAGCAGATCTCAAAGCAAAGAGCAGACTAGCCTGGGCTGTCCGCAGATAACTAATTCCTCCAGTAAGGCTCCCTGTCCTACAGATTCTACAACCTCCCAAAGCATCACTAAGAGCTGCACACCACGTCTTCACACATTTCAAACACAAACAGCGACTGAGAGGCTCAGGGAAGCCGAGTTGCATTTCGCAAATATGTTTATGTCATATGATAACATTTGTTTGCCTTCCCAGCCATTGTACTTGGAGCTGGTACTGCAGCTTTGGGTCTCTTATGTCCTCGGCTCTAGGCTACTGTTTTGTATACTGTCTATGAATAAGCTGGGTAAGCCAAGAATTCCCTTCCAACACTCATTTTCTTCGAGGATTAAAGAGCCAGTTGATGGCTATTCAGAGCAAACAGTGTAATCCGCCCCTCCATGTGATGGCACAGCTGAACACGATGATTGTTGAGCATTCCAAAGATACAGTTTTTCTCAAAGCTTTAGCATTCCTGCTGATAACAGTGCTTTCTAGAGGTCAACTTTCAGGCACAATAAAAAGTGAAATAGCCATGTATTTGCCCAAGGATTTCAGATAAACACCCTTTCTAAACGTTTCAGAATGTCATAAAAAATGGCTGAATCCTTTGATCTCATGCTTTTGCTCAGAGCACTTTTGTGTTAAGTCTGCAGTACAGAACATTCATTCAACCTTCTCATTGCTGAGCAGTATTTCAGCAGCCCCGGAGTTGCCATGTGAAAATGTGTCAGTGACTTCCCCATCTTAAGAGGTGACCAGCATGCTGATAAATCAGTGACACAAAACTTAAGCAGCTGCAGCTACACAGTGGCATCACTCTGGACAGAATGTCACATTTTATTAAGATGATTTTAAAAAAATATGACCACATTGTAGATCACTGTCAACAAGCCCCAGAATGAAGATAGTCTACACACACACACATGAATGCATGCATACACACACACACACACACACACACACACACCAATGTGTCACATGTAGACAATACTCTGGTTTTTCCTTTTTGAGTCTGGAATACAATCAAGATAAACTTAGGTTTTCTTTTCCCTTTCCTTTTTAAATTATTTAATAGAAAATATCAAAATGTGTTGAATGGTTTTCATGAGAACTAGGTCGCTTTTTAAATTATATAATAGAAAATATCAAAATATGTTGCTTGGTTTTCATGATAATTAAGTCCTAATATTTAAGGAAGTGTATTTTAGTGTGACTCAAAGCACTTTACCCATCATATAATATCCATCAGAAAGAGACCTGCTTGGGCAGAGGCAGTGAGCTGAACCTTTAATTTTTTTGTGTTTCTTTTCCTTCATCTGCATGTCATTTATTTTTCATAGGGGCCGTGGGGGTGCTGTTCCTCCACCACCACCACCTGGACGAGGAGTTCTTACCCCTAGGGGGACCACTGTGACCCGTGGAGCTCTTCCAGTGCCACCAATAGCGAGAGGTGTCACTACTCCTCGTGCCCGGGGGACAGCGGCAGTACCAGGATACAGAGCACCCCCACCTCCAGCCCACGAGGCTTATGAAGAATATGTAAGTACCACCAAGAAATCTGCAGTGAGGAAGAGCTAAATTTACTGGTTCAGAAGATAAACTCCATTCCATCAAAACAGAGGGTAATGTTAGGCGCAGCACACAAATGTCATTTACAACAGAAGTTAAACTATGGGTTTACATGGGAACACTTAGAAAACAAAAGGCTTTCATTTGATAGGTGTCATCATTGCAGTGCATGTGACATCAATACCTTGGCTTTCAAGAATCAACTCTGCTAAGGTGTTCTCATCTTTATATAAAGTCTGATCAGTTTTCAAATTGGAAATAATGATAGATTATTACAAGCGTGATATGACTCATTGTAAGGTCACAGAATTCACTTAGAACCTAATAAACATTAGGGAAAAGCTGATAAATATGAGCACCAATGAATACGCTGTATACACAGATGGATTGCCTCCCATATCCATGACTTACTCTTTCGTTGAAAGATATGATTGTCATCCATAATTGACATGTGTAGAGTAAACAGGAAATATAGTGTCTCTAAATACACTCCTCCTGTTTTTCTTCTGTCTCCAGATTTTTTTCCCCTTGGACAGAACCCAATAGTATCCACACCTCCACCTTTCAAAGGTCCCAGGAACTAACAAAAGTTCCATTCCACCAAAGTTCCCTCTGAGTCACACATAAGTACATCAGGCTTATTTACAGTGCATGATGAGGTGTTACTGACAGGAACATTGGTGATTTCAGAGCAGCCACACTGGAATGTCTTCATTCAGCATAGTTGATGGCTCCTCTGTAGCTCCCTAAGTGACATCTCCTTCACCAAGTCCTCTCCAGACTCTTTAATCCAGCCAGTCCCCCAAGCCCTACAACCACACGCAATTAGGGCAGAATTGCATATACAATTGGGTTGGATAAGTGACTGGATATTCAGGTGAGCTTCCAATAACCCTTTCTTCCTTCCTTCTATGAGAGAATGTCCTTGAACCCATAAGACAGTTTACAAACCTCTGTAATTTTGGTTCCATGGGGATCTGATGCTCTCTTCTAGCCTCCAAGGGTACCCACCAGGTAGGCATGTGGTACCTCTACATATACATGCAGGCAAACATTCACACACATAAAATAAAGATAAATATATTTCAAAATACATTACAAAAAAGCATTTGTGTGTCTTTAATCTCTCTAGTATGTTCACCCTGTAAGCATTCAGTCCTTTATACCTACAAATGCTCTCCTCTCAAATACCTTCTGCAAATCATTGCTCATTAAGTTTACACCCTTCAATAATAATTACTGTCATGTGCTGGGCACTAAAATCATATAGATAGTTATATACTGGCTAACTGCTAGTCAAAACTTGATACCTAAATGAAGTGATCATGGTTGATAGGTTCCACTCAAGAAGATACTAATGCTTAGTGCTTGGTACATTTTAAACATGATGTTATTGTTTTAACATAAAGCATTGATAAGACTTAAAGACCGAAGGAAGATTAAATATGAAAATCCTAGTAGAACTGACAAAATATATTCATCTGAAGTATCTTTCATATACCTGATTAAACTAATTACAAGTCGAATTATGTTTTCTGACTTTTCATTAATGTCTAAGTTTGTAAACAGCAGTGTCTTGAGAATTTGAGTGCCGTGAGAGACTCAACAAAGTGCTGCCCCACCTAAAGGGCTAATTAGTAAGCGGCATCCCAAGTATGAGAACCAGCAATTGCATTCTTTATGAAGTTGAATATTTTGTGATGGTGGGGGATCAGGAAGATGAGAGCTGGGAGAGACTGTGTGAGGAAAAGTCGTAAATAAATTCTCAAGGAAGAACAGGGTGCCAAGTAGGAGATTTTGGGGAGAAAAATAACATGCTCAGGTAAGATTAGTTTTTCTACCATTCATTCTTCATAGCTCATGGAGACCAGATCATGAGCCCTGAGATATGTAAACAAGTCGTGCGGAAATGCTGTGACTCATTATCACACCCCCTTTGGCAAAACGATGGTTTGGAGGGAATGCTGGCTATATATCTTTCCGCATTTGGTGACGAGATAGGTGTAGGGTCATTTTGCTCTTTGCTTGTTTTTGTAAAATATTAATGAAATGAAATTTTGGGGATAAAACTGTTGTGCTAATAGAGGGAATAGCCATTAGAATAAGGATGGGGGGGAGCAACGTGAGAGTTCAGTTTGGGATGGAGCTGAGGGAAGGCTCTCTGTCTGAAGGAACCAGGGCATTACTTCATAGGTACAGTATGCACTGTGATGATAAATAGTCCTAAACACTTATAGGCACCAGTAACTGCTTATAATTCTATAAGTATTGAATAAAAGCTAACCATAATATAAAACGTCATTGTGTTTTTCTTAACATCTTTCTACTATTGATTTATTTAATTCACAGATGTTTATATTTTTTTTGAAACTGATCAGGCATTATTGATTTTAAATAGCTAAGAAATATTTGTCTTATGTTATTAAAATATAAACTTGGCATTGTGGGAATGTTCTGTGTGGAAGTTCAAGAATCCACTAACAGTATGTTGTTAGACCTAGAGGGATGCTTGGACCAAGGTGCTAGGAAACTGCCAGAAGGATTTGCTACATCTCTTCATGTTTTCCATTTCTTTTATTTTCTTCTTTTTATCTTTTTTTTCTATCCTTAGTGCTGCACTCCATGGCATTAATTTAAAATATATATAACAATTAACACTATTTAAGGTGCCGTGCAAAGAACACTTCCAAATAATGACAGAACATTCTCAGGTGATGCCCCTTCAATAACTGAGAACATATGCCCTTTGAAGTTTATCAACTATTTTATTGACTTTCACCTAATAAATAATAATGTGATCCATGTAGTTATTCATTGGATCTTTGGTTCTACTTGGAGTAAAAAGTGTCCACTTCTCTGTACAGATACTCAAGCCACATGCTAATTAGCCATTTAATAAAGATAATACTCCATAATGTGCAAAAACATTCATTTTTCATTTAAATTAGAAACAAGCTTGCTTCACATGTCAATCCCAGTTCCCTCTTCCTTCCCTCTTCCCCTGCTCCCCCTCCAAGCCCCCCACCCAATACCCACTCCACTCTCCAGGGAGGGTGAGGCCTTTCATGGGGGATCTCCAGAGTTTGTCATATCATCCAGGGAAGGGCCTAGGCCCTCCCCCATGTGTCCAGGTTGAGAGAGCATCCCTCCATGTGGAATGGGCTCCCAAAGCCTATTTGGATGCCAGGGATAAATACTGATCTATTGTCCAAGGCCCCAAAGAATGCCAAGGCCTCCTCACTGATACCACATTCAGGGGATCTGGATCAGTCCCATACTGGCCTCTCAGCTATCAGTTCCCCCTTGTTCAGGTCAGCTGTTTCTGTGGGTTTAACCTGCCCAGTCTTGACCCCTTTGCTCATCAGTCCTCCCTCTCTGCAACTCGTTCCAGGAGTTCAGTTCAGTGTTTAGCTGTGGGTGTCTGCCTCTGCTTCCATCAGCTGCAGGATGAAGGCTCTAGGATGGCATACAAGATAGCTGTCAATCTCATTATAGGGGAAGGGCATTTAAGGTAGCCTTTCCACTACTGGTTAGATTGCCAGTTGGTGTCATCCTTGTAGATCACTGGAAATCTCACTAGTGCTAGATCTCTTCAAACCTATAATGTCTCCCTCTATTATGGTATCCCTCATCCTGCTCTCCTCTATTGTTCCCCAGACTCAACCTTCCTGCTTCCCCATGTCCTCCTTTCACTTCCTCTTCTCCCCCTCTCTTTCTTCCAAGTACCTCTCCCCTCCCCTCATGCTCCCTCTTCCCTCAGGAGATCCTGCCCTAAGCATTCATTTTTAGTAATATTTGCTCATCATTGTAAATTGAGATATAACTATAGTTCTTAGCACACAAAAGACTTCACACAAATATTTTGCTTTCGAGTTTATGTCAGCTTGACACAAGATAGAGTAATTTGTGATGGTAGAAAACACAAATAAGAAAATTTACCCACCCCACCCAAAATGGCCTGTGTTTTCTACCAAGAAACAAAGGTTTGTGGAGGGGGTGGGAAGCATCAGGTTGGCAGACATCCCAGTATTTCTACAACAACATAGCATGGATTTATAGGAAAGGCTGGATACATACAGCTTTTTTTAAGTCTCTTAAGTCATAGGAAAACTAATTACTGACTATATTTTACAATTATTTTCTGTTAAAAAATAATTCAGTAGGTGCATACAAAATTTCAGGCGAGTCTGCAATCTCTTGGGCACCTAACTGAACTGTAGGTAGGGACCACTGCTTTCTGCTGAACTTTCAGATTCCACTGTAAGAGGTAGGAAAAACAAAAGTGTCTCAGTAACAAAATAATAGCACCATGCTGAGTTGATAGTGAAAAATCTCAAAGGAGTTCTTAACTCTCAGATAAAATTTCCAAGAAAAAGGCTCCCTTTATTATAAATCACAGTGTGAGTCAATTCCCTCTTCACAGTCCTTCTCCTGCTGAGCCTCAGCATTAAGTTTCGGGCCACACAGAATGCATGGAGGTAATCAAATCCATCCACTCCTGCAGCTGGCCTGTGAGATACCACATACAGTGATGGAGACTGCTGTTTAAGATCATCATTTGTGTTAGCTGAATCACACACACACACACACACACACACACACACACACGCGCGCGCGCGCGTGTGTGAGTGATATATATATATATATATATATATATATATATATATATATATGTATATATATTTGGGGTTTTTATCTTGCCTTTAAATATTTGAAAGCTTTTTTTGTTAATATCTTCTGAGTGGAATACATTCACAGTTTACAGATCCATCATCATAACCAAGGGATATTAGAAAAATTGCAAATGGGATTTTAACAAAAACTCGCATAGAATTGCACCAAATCTACCAGAGACTAGAAGTGAAATGCCACCTTTGAAGGCGTAGCTGGCACCAATCATGGTCTATTAAGTCACTCAGGCCTAGGCTGATGCTACCAATGAGCTATTAATGACCCAGGCACTGGGGGCT